TTACTATACCTACGTAGAAGAAAAAGTGTGAATCGGTGAAAAAAGAAGAAAAACTGTGCACATTATGGAAATTTAGATTTCCATAAACCCTCCTTCAGTTTTTCCCCTCCTAGCCTTAATGTTCTTGTTATATTTTTCCTGTAAACTTACTCCACACGACTTCTACACGACTGGGACAAGATCAAACGCAAGATCGACGTCTTTAACCATCGAGGCATACATTTCTTAACAAAAAACCCTTTATTGTTTTCTTAGATTTACGCGAATATTTGACATTTTAAATAAAACTATGACTTTCGAATGCTACAGCAATCATGGTCATGGGAGAGAATCATGTAAATGATTGCTGTAAAGCATTCGAAAAATCGGGAATCAAAAATCAAAATAAATCCGAAAAGATCGTTTTATTTATAAAAACCTTTTAAATAGTTTTGACTCAACCCGGTACTTGAACCCAAGACTTCAGGATCTGCAGCCGCATAAGTCAGTAACATATTATATAGAATTTATTCTATAAACTAAAACTTATGTTAATAATATGCTACAGATCGTTGATTTTAACATTTGGCCGTATATATTACATTTAATTTATATTTGATAATAAAGTTAATAACTGACATCATTAATACACCTAAATTGGTTAATTTGACTAAACTACGACCATGAAGATAGTTATAATATTTCATACGTTAATTTTGGTAGCTCTGAAAATTATTATAATATTAATTATAAGGATTTATGACCTAATTGTAAATTAGCTTATTGCTTTATAATATATAAATAACTACTAATATAAAAGAACTACTGATCGGCACTAATAGGCACAAGGTGTCCCTTTAAGTATGTCACCACCAAGCTGGCCAAATGCGGTTTCATCTCATGATGGCTCATCTCAATTATGATGGCAAATATCATACGTCTTCAAGAAACTTACTTATGACCTGATCAGATTTGCAAAATATCTATCAATAGGCTTTTTTAAATCCGAAAAGATAGTTTTATTTAAAACTAGCAGAACTCGCGGCTTAGCTCGCATTAAAATTACAAAAAAAACTGGCTTATGCTATTAGTAATAATGTATGGAAGTCTGCCGGATTAGTTGACATTTATGATTATTGCTCTGCTTCATTAGGTAGTAGCATGATGATATATAACATATAACCTTCCTCAATAAACGGGTTATCTAGTGCAAAAATATTTTTTCAAATCGGATTAGTAATTCCTGAGATTAGAGCGTTCAAACAAACAAACTTTTCCTCTTTATAACATTAGTATAGATGTCAAATATTCACGTAATACTAAGAAAGTATTATCTATAGGGTGTTAAGACTATCATTATTATAATACAAATACATATACCCGTAACTAGTGATGATGAGTGAGTAGACATCATACTAAAAACCATCATTCACTATTAATACAAAAAATAAATATACTTAGTTCAGTTCTTTGCTTTAATGGCTTTAATGCGTGCCAGTTGAGCACAAATTATTTCGCCAATGTCACGTTGAATGGAGGAGTCACGTTCGAGATTGGCCGGTGATATTTTGAGTTAAAAAAACAACACAAAAAATTAATTATATTATACTATGTAAAAATAATATTATGTTAGTAGGTTAACTTAAAGAGATGTTAGTTCTAAAGCTTAATTTTATTAAATTTAATATATTTACACAAAAATCTACATAGGGGACTAAACACAAACATCAATAAACGACGGGGGAATTTAAAAGGAAGAACATCGTAAAGGGGACGAAGAAGTTTGGGGCAGTTGAAAAGGATGTGGGAAGCTGAACCTTCATCCAAACCGCATTCGCATTGAGTGGTCCCTGAAAATAATGGAATACCAAATAACAGTCTGGAATGGGCGAACAGCTTCTAGCAAAGCAACAGCCTCGCCTGTAAACACCGACGATTGGGGAGGACATTTGAATTGGAGAACAATTTTAAATTTAGGTATCCAACACGCTGCCCCAACACAGCCATCATTAGATAATTTAGATGCATCTGTGTATATATGTACGTGGTTCAACCAATTTTGATGCAAAAACGCTTGAAACTTTGTGTTGATGTCAACGGCACCCTTTACTAGACCAATATCTGTTATTATAGGGGGAGCATACGTCAAGGCAAGATAGGAGGTAGAGAAAAGTGGATTAGAGTTAAAAGAATTGATAGGATAAGGGAGGTTGGTAAATCTACGATAACTATCTAAAAGGTAGGATACAGGCCTATGTGGAGCGTTAAGTTCGGACAATTCAATTAAACGAGGCCACAAAGGATGGGATGAAAGCTGTAATGATTTACAAACAAATCGGTCAGACAGGAACTGACGCCGAAACGGAAATGGAGGATCCACACACTCTATCTGAAGAGCATTAGTTGGAGTAGACCTCATCGCACCAATTATAATTCTAAGACTTTTAAATTGTAATTTATTAAGTTTTTCTGAAGCTGCCTTATTAAAGGGGTCTAAGATAAAGATACCATAGTCAATATGGCTCCGAATTAAAGCGTTATACAGCAGTTTTTGAGAATATGGGTGTGCACCCCACCACACACCAGACAACGCTCTTAAAACGTTAATGCCTTTCTCGCACTTTTTACTAATATATTCAGTATGAGCAACTCCGTTCAATCTGTTATCAAGTACTATGCCTAGAAATTTAACTTTATCAGCCACTTTAATTGGTTGATCCTCAACACAAAAATTGAACCTTGGAATAGATCTCTTTTTACAAAATATTACTGTCTGGCATTTAGCCACTGACAACGATAAGCCATGATCAGAAAGCCACTGGTTTAGATAGTGCAAAGCAGTATTTATACGAAACTGAATGTCCTCTATATACTTTGAACTAAAATAAAGGACGATGTCATCAGCATACTGTAATATACTGCAAAAATTGTTGACAGACAGTTCGAGGTCATGGGTATAGATGCTGTACAGCAAAGGGCTGAGAACCGAGCCTTGAGGGAGGCCTTTCCAGACCTGCCTGGGAGGAATAGTTAGCAAGCGGTGTCTAATAGATATAGTTCTACTGGCCAGCAGATTACATATAAAATGAGTCAACTTCGCAGGAATACTCAGCTGTTGCAAAGGCTAGTCGAATGTCTGTCGTAAAAATGCTGAGACAATCTATTGTGCTCAGGCCCTTCCTGAAGCCAAACTGAGAGGGCGCCAAGATTCTCCTGCTTTCCACACCATTCCAAGCGATTTTTAAGAAGATGTAAATATACTTAAGTAATTATTCTGCCATATTTTTTCTTAACATTTACGGTCTCAAATAATCATCAAGATATAAACTATTTAAAAAATACAAACGTTACGACCTTCTTTCTTTGACCTACTACAATGTATGTCGACCAAAGTATTCAAATGAGCTTAAAAACTAAGGTTTTACTAGTAGACATTAAAGAGTTCCTTTATCATCTCCTGGCCTTATTATAAGGTCAAGTCAGTGGTTTTAAAATATTGTGTTGCCATACGAATTTTATGATCATACAAAGTTGCAAATAGATACTAAGAAATAGGTTAAAAACGACTTCCAAGACTCGATTAGTACCAAGTAAAACTTATTGAAACTTAGTAAATAATCATAAAATTAAATAGCAAGTTTTCGAAAGCCATGCTCAGTCCGCCAACCCACACTTGGCCAGCGTGGTGGACTATAGCCTGATCCCCTCTTATTGAAGGGAGGCCCATGTCCAGCTGTGGGACTTTAAAAAGAGCTGGATACAATGAAAACAGCCAAATTATGACCTTTCTATTTTAAGTTATAAACTAATATATTAGAAAAATCAATTAATTTCCAATGAAATATTGAAAGTTTAGTTCGTTTTCATATTTAATGGCTCAACTTCTTAGAACTAGGGCGTATGTCTGCAGTTAGTTGCTAAGTGGCTATTACTCACAACTACGACGTATAATTCTTAGAAACTTTAAATTGATTATTGATTCTATACCTACTTTAATGGGTCATATTTCTCATATGTTTTCTGATGCGACATTTAAATATGAGTAAACGAGGTTAAATTTCCAACCAAAATTAAAATTAATCCGCGAAAAAATCCGAAAAGATAGTTTTATTTAATGTGTCAAATATTTGTGTAAATCTAAGAAAGTATTATATGAACCAGTACACACTGGAAATCGCAAACAAAATACGCCGGTTAGAAGATCTAAAGACGAAGTGCGCAAAATTATTAACATCCTTAACTTTTTTAAAGAGATGTGATCATCGTCTCATTCCTGAGTGTGTAAAATATCTTCTAAAAAGAACATACAAGGAAGCGCCAACATCGTTAATCAGGCATGTTTTTGGAACCGAAAATGAAAATACATTCGCGAAAAAATCGAAAAGATAGTTTTATTTAAAAAGTCAAATAGAGAAAGTGTTAAATCTCATTTCTATAGCTTATATCTTTTCAGTCAGCTTTGATTTTTTTTTGAATAGGTAACAAGTAACCGCCTTATTTATATCTGCTTAAGCACTAATTAATTCTATTAGCTTTAAATCCTCTTCGAGGGAAATTTATTTCCGGGAAATTCACAAATTAAGCACGTTGTTTTGACATAACAAATTTCAGTATTACCTGGTTCGCGAAAAATATTGTAATAAGAAAAATGATAAGAACTAGAAATGAAAGCAAAAATAATGTTCATAAGATTATATTTTTTATAACTGCTACTTTCACTTCGTAATATAAAATGTTTAATTTCAAAGTAAATCTTCAGCAATTCTTAGACTCAAGAGCAAGGTCGACTCAAAATAGAAATAAACAATATAATTGAAAACATAATATATACATCTGGATAGCTATTTAAGAAGATCTAAGAAAAATGTGAAAGATTATATTTTTTTATTACAAGAAACATTCAAATGAAAACATTTCTAGTAATGACGGATTCAATTTCAAAGTTAAATTTGTATAACGAAATTTTATTAGCGTATTCTATTCTTCATTGAATCCTGACAATTTCCCTTTCACTTTTTTTAAATATAACTTGACAATATTACTGAAAAAGAATAAAACAGTTCAGTGAATTTGGAAAGACCATCTCATATCAAAACTTACATATTAATGTTCTAGAGAACTAACACCTTTATTGATTCTGATCACTTTCCCTTGCATTTCCCGTGGGATACCATGGCGTTCCATCATATGACGTCGAACTGTTGCTGTTTTGGCGTATGTCGCACCACATTTGTTACACAAATACACATAAACTCTGTCGTGTACATTGTTCGCATGAGCCAACATTTCGCTTCTTTGGAAAAATTTCCTAGGGCATTGTGGACACTGAATTTTTTTCTCAGTATGATAGATGAGATGCTTTTTCCATATCCCTCGTCTTCGGAAGGTCAAGCCGCATTTTTCGCAAGTGTATGGTCTTTCCCCTGAATGTATTCTTTCGTGTTCTATCAGGTCAAATTTTCGTGGAGCTTTAAAGGGGCATGTTGAACACTGCAGGTATGGTCCGGTGCCATGACGAGATACTTGATGTATTTGAAGTTCTGTACGAACTGGGAACCCTTTTCCGCAGTGTTCGCAAATGTACCTAAAACAAACAAAACTGATTAAGATGAAGTACTAAATAAACCCTTTTTCTGTTATCGTCTTTCCCGCAGAAATTGTTCCTTTTTTGGAATTAAAGTAACTTGTGTCACTCTCGCCTGAACTTTTATCTACCAATGAACGTCCAATTAAAATATGTTTCGCGTTTTCGGTGCAAAGTAAAATACAGAAAAAATGTTACCAATTATTTGAATTATTTATTTTCCCTTATACGTACGAGTTAACTTATATTGAATTTATTTTTTTATATTTATACATAAAATTTCAGTGTGCATGTGTTCATAATTCTTCTCCTCGCAAACGACTTACCCATTAGAATGATATTTTGTGTAAGTATATGTATAAGTATCTATTAGTATAAACATATATACTTATGCATTTTTCTAGTCTACTTTTTTATATATTGTGATGTATTTACTCTATTATTTACACCCCTTCCCTCTTGCAGTTTGCTATCTCCTACACCTAAAGGTTGCCTGGAAGAGATCGCTGTTTTAGCGATAAGGCCGCCTCTTGTACATTTCCATTCTGTGTTTATTTATTTTTCTTTTATTCATGGTGTACAATAAAGAGTTAAGAATTATTACTATTATTAATTTAATACATCTAATTTCAAAAAATATTCTACATAGACAATTTTATCCTCTATTTATACTCTTTATTCATTTTGATTATCAGAAACTAACCAAGAGAAGGTGAATGGATGAATTAACTTAAGCTTTCTATTACTTAAGTAGATATTCCAGAACAACCAGTAGTTATATAATAAACATCTAAATTAAAACCCTCGTCATTTCGTTTTTAATAAGACTTAAAAATAATTAACTTTGTGTAAACAACAGTTACTAAAAGTTATTTAAATTAAGAAAGTACACCAACATATTTTAGTAAAAATTAACTTTAAATATAATGGAGTGAATTTTTATTTATCCATACTTTACATTATAAATGTGAAAATGTGTTTGTTTGTCGTTCTTTCACATCGAAACAGAGTGACGGATTGGCGTTATTTTTTGTGTGCAGATTGAGGAAAGATAAAGTTCTAGAAAGTGGCGAAAGCTTACTTTTTACTGCGGGAAATTATCTCATTTCCACGGGAAAATACGTTATAATGCAACTCACAACTCATCATGCCTATAAGGTAAAAACGTACCTAGGAACGAACCCGAGCGAAGCGAGAGTGAGTCACTATTACTGTATATATTTTATGACAAAGATAACATAAGTATTTAAAATTCATAGTAGTTAAAGAATGTACATTCTTATAAAAAAACATATTAAAATTATATATATGCAACATTTTTAAGATATTTGCATATTTGTTGCTAAATTAGACAAAGTGATGCATAAATTTTGATGAAAAGTTACAAACATAATAGCTTGGGCTAAATGATAGGATACTTTTTATCCTAATGCAATTAGGGTGGGATGATAAAACTTTGTTCTTAAATCACTTTAGTTCAGAATACAGTACTATAAATAAGAATGTTGGAAGAAAAGAATGGATACCCGCTTCAAGGGTAAAATAAAGCAATGATTGAAGTAACTGAGGTTTTTACATTAACTTAATTTTAAATTTAACTTACTTAAATAGACTTCAAAATTTAAACGTCATCAGACATTTTTTTTTAAATATCTCTACAGTTATACAGATAAATATAATTGAAGTGTCTGTTTGTTATGTCTAAATAACAGTTTTATACTAAAAGCAAATGAAATTATACACGGTACTTATAAGAAAAACACAATTTAAAAAAATATGTCTGTCTGTTTGTTCTGGCTAATCTACAAAACGGCTGGTCTGATTTTGACGGAACTTTCACTGGCAGATAGGCGATGCAATAAGAAGTAATATAGGCTACTTTTATTTTAGAAAAAGAATTAGAGTTACTTTCTTCTGAGCAAGTGAGTGTAAGTCACAAGTCTGAGATAAAAAAATATCTATTATATCAGCTGCTATTAGTCTCCTCTATATTACAGTATAAAAGTAGTATAATATGGCTAGAATCTTTATATTATTAAATTTGGATAAGGTTGTACTTTTGTTTCTTATCTATATATTTTTTTTAATATATTCTACTTAATAGATAATACATACAATACATGAAAATATATTTCTTTCCTTAATTTCTCTTTTTAGAGCAATTGAACCAAAACAAGCAATTTAAGATTTGTCATGTGTATATTTATGAAAAAACATGAACAAATAATTTTAATAGACTGTGTAACATTATATAGATTAAAAATTTTAGTGTTTAAAAAAAAATCTTTCTTTATAGAAAAAAGTGTATATCCTTTAGTTTTTTATTTCTACAGATATAAAATATAACAAAATTTGTTGTTAGGAGTGACATGTCACATGTATACACATGTTGGTTTTCCAACGGGAAGCATGTAAGAGGTCATACACATTATCGTGATGGACGAGTGTAAGGTTGTATTTTTACATATTGGGTGTTTTAATGATAAATAATATATTTGATTAATTTGTAATAATTTATATATACTTAAGGCATTTAGTTATGGGATCTTGGCTGAAAGGAATGTATTTAAAAGAAATAAAAAGGATGCGGATATTCATTTGTTTTTCGGAGCTTTTGCACAGAGATGTCGATACCACCCTGTAGTGACTAGTCATGAATTGTTTGTAATATTGAAAATTATGGTTATAAATTATGTAACTCATTATTTAAAAGATTAACTGTTGAGTTTCTTGCCTGCTCTTCTCAGCAGAACCGCTTTCTGAGCCGGTGGTAGTTTTCCACATAACTAATGATTATAAAAGAACATGAATCTCGAAGTTTTATTAGTAATCCTACACATGGCTGTCTTAGTTATATATAAAATGTATAACAATAATAACCAAAATTTTAAATAATAGCCTTCGCTTACCTGCAACCATTATGCCTTTGCATATGATGTCTATATGTATGTTGGTTACTAAGTTCTTTGTTACAAATATTACATATTAACGGAACAGACTCCACATTTTTCTTACAATTTATGCGTCTCTTCATAGATATATGATTTTTCAATTTTCTCTTTAATTTATTTTTTATTTTAACTGGATTTTCAATATTTATTGATTTATAAGCATCTGTGTCAATTAGACTTTCCATTCTATCTAGTAAATCATCATCTTGACTTGTATTTAGCTTCACAGATTCAGTTTCAAAATAATTATCTAGAACAATAATTGCATTGGAACATTCATCCTTTTCTTTAACTGTGTTAATGTCTAATAATTTTAAATCACGACACTTTTCTAGTTCTGAAGGTTTTATTTTAGCTAATTCTTCTTCATTTTGTACAAAACATTCCTTAGGAAAATAGTATTTAAGCATTGTGTACTCAACTACTCGTTCTTTCAATTTTTCTTTTTCGACATTTTTAGATAAGTTTTTGAGACATGTATCACTGGATTCACACAGTAATTTAAAATATATAGCTTGTTTTAATAAATTCAAGCATTTAACACACATAGCTGTAGGGAAACAATCCTGTTTTTTAATTGATATATTAGCAAAATTAATCACTGCTTTTCCGTGGCAACTGACACCGTTTTTATCATTATTATCAATTAAAGACACCATATTTTTATTATTGTCATATTTTAAACATATTCTGCAAATAGATTTGTATATTTCCTCGTAACTATTCATTGTTTATTTACAAGTTATTTAGTGAAAACAGCCGCTGTCTAATTTATTGAAGTGTCAAAAATAGCGTGACATTTACTTGACAGCGTTTTGTTATGAGCCGCGTTTTGATATTATTTCCGCAATAAACTTTAAAATTAATAACATTGAAGCCAGAAAAGTATTTGTTTTTTAGTTTTACATAAGTCATTAAACAAAATTTTGTAACATTTACTATTGAGATAATATAAATGTTTAATAATAGATATTAAGCTTTAAAAAAAATATTTGGATTTTGGTGCTTCATGTTTTGAATGCTTTCGCATTAACTTTTGACGTTTGTTAGGTACCGATAAATTAGGTAATAGGCACTTTTTATTAAAATAATTTAATTTAATTCCCTGTTAATAATTTGACTAGAATTTTTAATATGGAAGACAGAGTTCTCAATGTTTTAGTTGATTGACCAATTTTCCTACTACCTATGCATGATTGTTTCTTTTTTTTAATGAAAACGTCCTTTCGGTAACCTTCCTGAAATTCATATTTTATTGACCAACTTCAGAAAAGGAGTAAGTACAAATTTTACTCAGAATTTTATGTTACTCGATAATCGATATGCATGGTGTATGAAGGAAATTATTTGTCGAATATCATTGTTCTTTTCTTATTAAATAGGTTATGTCTTTTTCTATCCCAAATAAATTTCTAGAAAATAATTATTTTTAAGTCATTGATTTTAAAGACGTCAAACTTTATATAGTTGTCATTAGTAATTTTAGAAACAATAATATTATGATAAGAAAATACAAAAATTTATCTTTGCCAAATCGAACTGCCGACTTCCTCACGTTAAGTGATTCTCATATTTTACATCATCTAATAAAGAAATAAAAGCCTAAACCATTATTCAAATTGTGGATATTTTTTCGAGCGTGTAATATGAATAAAGGCTACGTATAAGACTGTTTACCTGCTGCAGATCTCAATTACTTAACCTAAATGTATGTACGTAAGCTGCTCTTTTATCATAGAATAATATTGTTATATAATTTTCAAATTTTCTTCGTTTTCTAACGTACTCTTGGCTCGGGTATGAGTGGCATTGTCTATTTGCCGTGGGTCGTATATTCGATTCTTTCACTAGTTGAAAGTGATCCTAAAAAATCTTTATTCTGCCATATAATAAAATCTCAATCATAATATAATCTGTCATTAAATAGTTTTTGGAAAATCTTATTGTAATAGTCATTATTATAGATACAGAGGCCGAATCTACAGTTTTCAGAATTTTTATGTGCCTGTATCGAGAAAACCATTAAACAGATTTTGATGAATTTTGGTATGATAATTGCTGGTTATTCGAATCAACATATAGAATACTTTTTACTGCAGGAAAATATGTTATCTCTGAGAAATCTATACTAATCCGAACGGAGCGAGGGTCGCTAGTTCTATTATATTTATCACAGTCACAAATAATCCCCGCTTTATATGAAAGTGCGTACAACGATGAGTTCAACGTACATTTTTTATTGTTTTTGGCTGATTACAATGAAATGTAGATTGTAGGTTTATATTTTATTTTCAGTATTGTTGGAGTAGGTACGATAAAACATCTTTAACATTATCTTATTACGTAAAAAGGTATATCAACCTCAAAGTTACTTTAGAACTAATGCAATCTTTGAAGATGGATTTGTTTGAAGGTGTATTGAATATTTCAATTGAATATTGTGATTGATGGCGATTATTTATATGGACGGCAGTGGTAGCCCAGTGGTAACGCGCTCGCTTGGAAAACCGAGTTAAGCGAGTTCAAATCTCGGGTCTCGCACCTCTGATATATGTGCGAATCATTTTCAACATGATTATTGATTACCACTTGTCTTAACGGTGAAGGAAAACATCGTGAGGACACCTGTATGTCTGAGAAAACCGAGCAAGTTTTCAAAAGGCATGTGAAGTCTGCCAACACGCACTCGGCCAGCGTGGTGGACTATGACCTGATTCCCTTCGTACTGAAGGGAGCCCCGTGCCCAGCAGTGGGACGTTAAAAAGGGCTGAATACATTTATATGGACGTTGACGAAATTCCATTGACAATGGAAAAATTAATATAATTTCTACGTAACATTGGCGAAGTAATTAATTCACAACTTGCACGCCTTGAAGCTAATAATATGAACATTGAATTGTATAGAAGTTTAATATAGCGTGATATTATACACACAAAAAACAGGGCCGAATTGTGTACCTCTTTATATTTTTAAGACTGAAGTCCGTTAAAATCTGTTGATTTGCTGTCGATTACATTCGTAACTCTGATACAAAACCAGCATTGAATGCACAATTTTGACCTAGTTACAATTTTGTTATACTCGTATGTATAGATGTTTTAATACATTGTTGTTTGTTCCGGTTTGCACACATTGTTTTAGATAGCTATAAAATGCACAGGATATAATGGATGAGGATCATACTATTTTTGACTTTGTATGATGTAATTCGATTTAACAATGAGGTGATATTTTAATTATAATCATGAAAAACATTTTTCTAGTATCCTTTATGCCGCATTAATACTATTATGTTAATTTCCTATTTGAATTAAATATATTATAACCTAACCTACGATAAAATAGAACTACAAAAAAACAATGATAATCTTGCTATGTAAATGACATATGTACATACATAGAAGGCAAACACATAACCCTCCTTTGAGTGTCGCCGTAGTTGGGTAAAAAGGGGGTTCTCAATTTTTTAAACAAATTCGACTGTATAACGCAATATTGTTGTTAATAATACTGTTTAAAATGTATAGTAAAACCCAACTTTAAGAGTGGTATATTTATTTTTAAGATTACTTTAAATACCGTGTATTTTTTAGGTTAAATACCATATTAGGTACATTAATATCATTCTAGTACAAGAAAACACTGGGACGGCAAAACTCACTTCATTATGCGAGAAGACAAATTCTATTAATGTTATTTGCTTTCACCTGTAGTTAATTACAATTCAGCGTAGTCGAGTGTTTTTTTAAGAAAATATTTCTACTGGGACGGAAACGTTTGGGTTTCCTGGAATTCTCTTCGTAATTAGGTACACAAGTAATTTTTTAGTAGATTATCCATGCTAATATTATAAAGGTGGAAGTGTGTTTGTTTGTTTGTCCTTCTTTAACGTCAAAACGGATAGACGCGTTTGTACCGCGTGAGATTATTTAATTCTTATGTTAAAATACAATCCAAAAAAATATTTATGTTCAGAATTACTTGAAACTTGGCATTAATGCGCTTCCATAAAATTAAATGGAAACTTTAAAAAAAAAACGACTTCCAGGCACTAAAATGTAAAAAATAACTAAACGGAGGTTTTCATTTAGAATAGATATCTAATCAGATATTTTCGAAGTAAGCCTTTTTTCAAACTACCCCTGTTAATTTAAACTCGAAAACAGTAACAACCCTCGTTAATTGGGTTTTAGGATAGGCTATTGATTGCTGAGACTAGGCTTACTTAAGAGCTTAAAAATAAGAACACAAAAATATAGCTTTTCATGCAATCGTAACATGTGGAAAGTTTAAAAATACTAGTGTCGTATCAGTCCAAATTCGTCTATAATCATTATCAAAAGTTTGAGCAAAACATTTATAAATGGAGTTTACCTATCTATATATAAAAAAACTAACTGTATCGATTTTTTTTATTGATAACAATACGTTATTGATAACAATACTCGTCAATAGGTAATAAACAAAAAAAGAAAAGAATATCGGTTGACAAACAAAAAAAAGACAATGAACTATTTAATCTTTGCCTATTTATATTATGTAGATTATTTACAGGAAAATTTATTTTAAAACTAGTGACTCCTCGCTTTACTTCGGTACGTCGCTTAGAGCCTAACAGCAGTATAATATATTACTCCAGGTCTCACTTCATTTGTATGCTAAATTTCATACAAATCCTTCCAGCCATTACAGCCTGAATGAGTAACAAAGATACGTACACATACAAACTTTCGCATATATAATAGTAGTCCTATTCTTTAACAAAAAACGATATTTAGGTTATTAATATACATGATTTTAACCAATACCAACTTATAAAATACTTTTAAGCTAGAGATTTGTTAGTTAGAATGAATTAATTAGAGATTTAGCAGAGAATGTAAGAGGATATATTTCATCCTCACAATGGCTAAGCTTACATCGACCGGACAGTATGTTACCCGTATGATTGTCGCGCAGGTCGATTACACTTCCTACCTAATGACTCGATCACTCGATTGTGATCTAACGAAGTTATTAATGAGATGCTTAACTTTAAGTTTGCTTAGCTTTAAGGTTATACAGAGTTTACGTAATTTTAAAAAAGTTTTGTCAATCTATTTATATTAAAACAGCGGGTCACCCTCACTTCGCTCGGGTTCGTCCTTAGGTACGTTTTAACGGTTACTATGAAATAGATAAACTACTATATAATATAATATGTATATATTATATTACTGTTCCGCTCCTTTGGGTAGTAGCACAATGATAATATATAGTCTATAGCTTTTCTCAATAAACTGGATATCTAATGCAAAAATAAATATTATAATATTTAATTAATTTATTTAAATTAATTTAATTTAATATTAGTAATTTTTGGTGCAAAACATAACACACTCCACTACGTGACAATATTCTATAGAGGCAACACCATTTTTGGCAAAAATTATTAATATCAGTAGCCTTTGTATGATTTCAGGTTATCGTCTAACTGTGTACTAAATTCCAGATCTGCCCAGTTATTTAAGAGTAACAAAGTAACAAAATATATACTCATACGAGCTGTATACACATAGGGCTGTACAAATACAAGATCGTGTCCTAGTGCTTAGTATATAATGTAAGGGGTTAGGGTGAATGATATACGATTCTGCCTATTCCTGAGTTAGGGGAATGTCATACGCTCAATTGAGCACGAAAAATTATGTTACAGTTACATAGGAATATAGGTAAAATAAGATAA